TGTGTGTGTGTGTGCGCGCGTTTTTGTGACAAATGAGGACATAAATTTGTATAATGACAAAGGTATGACATAGGTATTACAAGGAGAAGGTGACTTTTCAGGACATTACCCCATGTCCCCACTTTTCAAAACGCTTATAAATCACACAGAATGGAGTGTATTGAAAATCTGAAATAGCACAAAGTTTCCTGTGAGGGGTAGGTTTAGGGGTAGGGTTGGTGTAGGGCAATAGAATATACGGTCTGTACAGTATAAAAACCATTACGCCTATGGGATGTCCCCACTTTTCACAAAAACAAACCTGTGTGTGTGTGTGTGTGTAAGGTTTTCTTACTCAGTTGGCCTTGGAGTTTGGATGGGGATATAGAAAGCATCATTCTCTCCAATTCTTCATCATCCTCCATTTCTGTGAAACAAAGCATAAAAGCAAAGATGCGAATAATATGTCATCCTACATTTACATATTTCAGTTTGACCTAATATATACTCAACTGTACTGTCAACAAACCTGGAGGATGAGAGGCAGATGCTGCAAGGCCAGCGGAAGCAAGTTCCTCTGAAACACTCTGAAGCTGGCTCTTTTTCTGAGTGAGGTACTGCTGCAGCCGATACATTTTGCTGCCTGGAACACACTGTTTCTGGAGGATGAATGCAGCATATCCATCTGCTCTGCTCTCCCAAATATCCCTCCAAGTCTTGTCTGCATTAATCCCAAAGCCAACCAAGTTGTCATCTTCATTTCTCACAGGTGGTGCCACTGATCTTCCAGCTAAATACTTTATGAGGTCCTCGATTTCCTGGAAGCTTCTACTGTACTCAAGAAATGAAAGTAGGCTGTCCTTCTTGGGACCCTCTGGTTTAAACTGTCCGGCTCTCTCCTCCTCCTCAACCTTCTTAGTCAAGAACATGGTATAGCCTACATCATTCTCTAGTAGCCACCGGAATGACTTGCCTTTGTACTTTCCAAACTGAAGCACATACTCTCCCAGCACCTCCTGTCTGTCTGACACATCTCCTCCTCTCATGAAGACAACAGAGCGGGCATTCTCCTTGACCTTGTCTTCCCTTTGAGGGGCTGATTTGTCCTGGAGATTGGGGTTGTCTTTGATCCTCTTGGCTTCATCTGAGGGATCTTGTCTCAGATATCCAGTTGGTCCTTTCCTGAAGCACACTTTGATCTTGCCTGGGAATATCACTTTCACCTTCATCCTGCTCTGCTGTACACAAAGAGCTGATTAGTGTTAATGGTCTGTTGCATTAACACAATTAATTAACACACTTCTATTCTGATTTAAATGATTTTATTTCTTAATAAATAAAACAACAATTAAATGTAACAGTTTATTCTGAAATAATTAAATAATGTAATTCATAATTTATTAAATAAATGTATCAATAAATAAATGTATCTATTTATTTTGCAATATTCCATGAAAACACAACATTTATTGTTTAATATATTTCACAATATCCTCTTTCACAGACTATTATTGTGTTTAATTATCCAATTTTTCATAATAACATGTTATTCATATATTATACCACTAAATTGCACACACATTTTTTGTAATGATTTTTTTTTGTAATTTAAATGTGTGTGTAATATATATTAATTACATTATCAGTACTACATCATACTGCACTGTTAACATACATATATTTTTTAAACATTTTATTTAAGAACATAGTAAGAGATCAATGATGAAACATTCACCTTTACAAACAAAGATACTCTTATAAAATAACAGCTGTATTATATGAGTTTTTATCTTTATAATAGTTTGGTTTACTGTATTTTTATTAGTTTGGTTTACTGTTTCCTAACGTCACAAACCATTCAACACAATTAACAATACGATTACATAATATACATGCAATTTAAATTATAAAATATATTAATGATAATGTATGTGCAATACAATAAGTTAGTGTTGCTAAAGTATAGCATTCAACTTACATTCTCGGTTTGTCAGCTTAATTGCGTTATTTAAAAACAGCAGTCACCATAGGTAAAATCTGTCTTAAGGTAGTTTAGACAGTAAATATTTGTTGTACAAAACAAAAGTTTTTTTGATCTGGCAATTCTGTAAACAAATACCTCTCCGATCGTAAAACGGGTCTCCCCTCCTCCACTACGAACACGAATGATTGACAGATGACACCGCACTTCTTAAATTCCCCGCCACGGAAAAGACGAAACAGCGCCATGAAGTCTACGTGTGGCTACAAATATACTGCATCCGTAGTGTTAAGCACTACCATATAAAATGAATGGGAAAAGTTAAGGGAGGTTAAGCTTAACCTTGTTGGCCTCCCGCGCCGGAGACCGTGGTTCGATTCCCCGACGGGGAGAAACAAAAGTTTTCATTTTACAGACATATGACAAGAGATGCCTCTAATGGAAAAGAAGCTTTTAATTTGTTCAGTTGCCATATATTACGAAAATACTACACTGAACAAATTCATCCAACATACAAAAAAGAGCCCACAGCACTTTTAGTAAGTTCACTTCAGAAACAAACCATTTTATCATTCTGTTATTAAACAAAGTGAAAAAGCCCCGCATTAATGCACGACAACAACAAATTAGAAATTACTCATTGTGCTCCGCCCCACAGAAATCTTTAGTGAAAGGCGAAAGATTTATACAATCTGAGGTGAAACATGAGCGTACTAAATAAACCACAAATCGGGAGCAAATCTCACAAGAACGGTGCGAACACAAATGGCATTAATACATATGTGAGAAACAATAACAACCCTGTCAATACACTTATGGTATGGTACTAAAATAAATACAAATAAAATAAAATAAAAATGGCAAAGAACTGTTTAAAAGTACTTCGTTATAATGAAAAGCACCAAACTGCTCTGTAGGTACAACAGTACTAGAATCTGTTGAACACTTATTTCTTCATTGTAACTTGGTTAATTCATTTTGGACTGAAGTATGTAATTGGATAAAATAAAGAATATTTATTTTTCCATCTATTACTTGGGACATGGTGACATTTGGAGAACATTTGGAGGACTTTCTTGTAAATTGTTTACTTATATAGAGAATACGAATGTGACGTCACGTCGCGTTGAATTCTGGGTAACCTTGTTGGTAGACGCCATATTTAAAGGATCGCGCTTATTTTCTGCTAGTGTGTTTGATGCGGTGTTTTGACTTTCTTTTGCGATTTTGGAAAATATCGTTATGGTTGGTAATTCCTGCTGCATTAAAAACTGCAACAGCAAGTCACACAGTCGTTCAGGAAAAAAACTGAACAATCGGATAAGTTTTTTCCATTTTCCAACTTGTAAACAACGCGAAGGAAACCATGTTGAGGAGGTAACGACCCAACAAACACATTTACGTTGTGTCAACGTCGCTGCCACGTTCCATTTTTACTGTGGCAATTCCTGCTGCATTAAAAACTGCAATAGCAAGTCACACAATCGTTCAGGAAAAAAACTGAACAATTGGATACGTTTTTTCCATTTTCCAACTTGTAAACAACGCAAAGGAAAACATGTTGAGGAGGTTACGAGAAGACGTCGCATGGCGTGGATTGCGGCAACAAGACGAAAAGACATAAGTTATAGCAACATCTCTAAGTCAATGAAAGTGTGTTCTCTGCATTTTCAATCAGGCGAGTCCCATGATTTGCTTTTTGTTTTGAAATTTCCTCAAAAACCAGGTCTTATGACGTTATGAAGTACGAACTTTTTGGTCCTGTTTCACAGACAGGGCTTAGTTTAAGCCAGGAGTAGGCCTTAGTTAAAATTAGGTTATGTAAGCAGCTGTTATAAAAAAAAAAAAAAACGCATAGAAAAAAAACACCAAACTGCTGTGCATCTTGAGAAAAACCAATGGCGCTGACATATTTTAATTGTGGTAAAACCATGGTTCATTTTTGTTAGGGTCTTCTTTCAGCTTGAGATACTGCTGCAATGATGTAAAGGTTTCCATCAGCATGTATAACATATGAAATTTCTATGCGTATAGGACAGCCAGCGTATGAAATGTTTGACACCCATCCTGACTGGGCACCATCTTTGCTTTTGGGCCACAATGAAGTGAAAGTTTCAGACCAAAACAGGTTTGCACGTCACTTAAGGAGACATGGGAGGTCTGGAGTCCGGACAGGAGAGAAAGTGGATGACAGGGTGCAAAGTGAAGCAGTGGAGAAAGCACAAGAAGATGAAGAGGTACAACTGAAAGAGAAGATGCATTTTATTGTTTAAGATGTAACATGGTATATCATTGCTTTTGGGCCCACATGAAGTGAAAGTTTCAGACCAAAAGCAGGTTTGCACGTCACTTAAGGAGACATGGGAGGTCTGGAGTCCAGACAGGAGAGAAAGTGGATGACAGGGTGCAAAGTGAAGCAGTGGAGAAAGCACAAGATGATGAAGAGGTACAACTGAAAGAGAAGATGCATTTTATTGTTTAAGATGCAACATGGTATATGAACACAACTTTTCCAAAAGAAAAATATTGTCCTTTTTTAAGGACATTTTTATTTTCATCAGACTACATGTAACTCAAAACCCAATTTTGCTACATTCCAAACATCTTTGTAAGTTTATTTAGAATATATAAAGTTTAGTAAAAAAAAATCAAAAAGCCTAAAAACAGTGCCACTATTATATGAATTTAAAATGTTTTGGATGCCCTTTAATTTTAATTTCAAAATTTGAAAGTTATTGCTGTGTTTTAAAATGTTAATGTTTCAAAAAGTTACAATTGTTAAATGTCTTGTGAACTTGCTGGATATTTTTAATTTTGAAAGTTCAATAAAAAAAAATGTTCACTCTTTAACAGATTTTCAATGAGGAAGTGGAGGTGAGACAGCAGGTAATGGAGGAGGTGAGACAGGAAATGGAGAAGAGGGAGCGGACACGACAGGACGTGGAGGAAAGGGAGCGGACACGACAGGACGTGGAGGAAAGGGAGCGGACACGACAGGACGTGGAGGAAAGGGAGGTGAGACGACAGGATGTGGAGGAAAGGGAGGTGAGACGACAGGACGTGGAGGAAACGGAGCGGACACGACAGGACGTGGAGGAAAGGGAGCGGACACGACAGGACGTGGAGGAAAGGGAGGTGAGACGACAGGACGTGGAGGAAAGGGAGCGGACACGACAGGACGTGGAGGAAAGGGAGCGGACACGACAGGACGTGGAGGAAAGGGAGGTGAGACAACAGGACGTGGAGGAAAGGGAGCGGACACGACAGGATGATGACCCAGTACAAAATCCTTATGACCACGGAGTACAGGAATGTGAGCTCTGTCAGTCTAGACATGATGAAATAAATCTACTACTAAATGAAAACAGACAGCTGAAGAAAGCACTTAATAAACACAAAATAACAGAGGATTTTTTTTAAAGATGACGATGTTAAAGTAAAATATTACACTGCTCTTCCGAGTTATGCCATCTTTCAGGTTTTATTGTGCCACATCATGCCATTTCTGCCTCAAGGAAAAAAAAAAGTTACACCTTTTCAGATGGTTCTTCTCACCTTTATGCGTCTCAGGTTGGATCTGCCAATTCAACATAGCCCATCTATTCAGTGTACACAGAGATACTGTTAGTGCTGCCTTTAAGGAAACTGAGTGTTTTGTATTCCCGCTTGTCTCCACTTGTGCACTGGCCAGACAGAGAGAGTTTGCGAGTCAGTATGCCACACCAGTTTGTGGAGGCATTTGGAAATCGCGTTGCTGCCATTGTGGACTGCTTTGACGTTTTTATTGAACGACCCTCAAATCTTCAGGCAAGGGCACAGACATTTTCAAGTTACAAGCACAGTCACACTCTGAAATACCTAATAAGCATTACTCCACAAGGAGTAATTTCTTTCATCTCCAAAGGATGGGGTGGGCGCACCAGTGACAAACGGATTACTGAGAACTGTGGATTTCTGGACAAATTACTGCCAGGTGACTTGGTATTAGCGGATCGAGGGTTTGACATAAAAAAAGAGAGTGTGGGATTGATGTGTGCTGAAGTAAAAGTTCCAGCATTTACAAAGGGACAACAGCAGCTGGAAGCGAAGGATGTAGAGGAAACGAGACGCATCGCTCACCTGAGGACACATGTGGAGAGAATCATTGGTGTTGTAAGAAACAAATACAAAATCCTGTCATCAACAATTCCTATCAGTATGGTTCTTCCCTGTGAAGATGAAAATGTTACATTTTTAGACAAAGTTGTTACAGTTTGCTGTGCGCTAACAAACGTGTCCAAGTGTTGTACAGTAATTACTTAAAAGAATAGTTCACCCAAATATGAAAATTCTCTCATTTACCCCCCTTCATGTTGTTCCAAACCAGTATGAGTTTCTTTCTTCAGCTGAACACAGAAGATGATATTTTGAAGAATGTCGGTAACCAAACAGTTGATGGTACCCATTGACTTCTATAGTATTTTTATTTTCCTACTATGGAAGTGGATTACTACCATCAACTGTTTGGTTACCAACATTCTTCAAAATATCATCTTCTGTGTTCAGCTGAAGAAAGAAACTCATACAGGTTTGGAACAACATGAGGGTATGTAAATGATGACAACTTTCATTTTTGGGTGAACTATTCCTTTAAACATTGTAGCCATGTGAATTTGTGTGCTTTACATTGAACAGTTTGTACAACGTTTTTGATGAAAAAACATTCTTTAATGCTTGACTGAACGGTTTTATACAACTTTCTATACATGAATCAAACATAATAAAAGTTTGAAATGACATTAGCAAAAGCTTATTTCTTCAAAAACAAGAATTGAGCAAAAATTCATAAATATTGTAATACAATTACCAAACCAAAAATTACTTAAAGTCCTGTTAACCATTTAAATACATGAAATCAAATATAAAATACAAATGAAATAAATGACATTTTTGGACACACACCGGGCATTGTAATCAGTAGTACTACATAGCTTACTCCTCAGATGTAATGTTTGTAACACTTGTGTAATAATGTGCAAAATAAATTGTAAAGTGAGCAAAAAAATTGCATAAATATATAATTGTTATAGAATTACCTTACAATAAGCAAAACAAACATGTTATTCATCAAAAATAAAAATATAATAAAATACAAAGTACAAATTAAATAAGCAAAAAAATAAAATAAAATAAAAATCACAGTTTTGGTCCGAAGCCATAAATTGTAATCAAAGTAATAACTTTGAACTCAGGTGCAATGTTTGTAACACAACATTGTGCAAAATAACCACTTACAGTTGATCTAAAAATGAAATTTCTCTCATCATTTACTTCACCCTCATTCCATCTCCAATGTACATATTTTTAAGAAAAAAATATTTTTAGTAAAGTCCATCACTTTTTTTGCAGAAAGTAAGTCATGTGCATAGGGGATGGAATGAGGGTGGCGTAAATGATGAGAGAAATTTCTTTTTTGAATGAACTACAAACCACATTTACTTGTGATGCAAGCCAGGCAAAACCAGACATCATCTGCTGCAGGGGCCTCCTCAAGTCCAACACAGCTCAGATGAAACCACTGGACCCTACAGTTCTCATTATCACATGCCACCATGTCTCCTTTCTCTTCAGGTCCATTACAGAGACACCAGAGCTGTTTTTGTTTCTTTGCATTCAGTTTTTTACCTGTTACTGGTCTTTCTCACATTATTCTGTTGGATTTCTCCTAGAGGCAAAGATGTTCTAGAGACCTTTTTGGTGAAGTGTTGTGCAATTATCTCAGGGAGGGAAACTGCAATGAAAAATTGTTGTGCCTTCTGTAGGCGTGCCCTCCAAAACTCTGGGTTTGGATCTATTCGCAGAATGACACAGTCTTTGAGTGTCCAAACCACAAAATCACAGTAGTTACTATTTGTCACAAATATTTGTGTTTGGACTTGTGTGTAATATTGGTGGCTTTGTTTTAATTGTACTTTTCCATCTACAAGTTCGAGGTAGAAGTCTTTGGCCAAACATGCCTCCGGGATGGTGTTAGTTTTGTGCTTTGATGGACACTTGATCTCAACGCAGCCTTTACCACAGCAAGTGCATGTCACTACGCCATCAGGTGATGCTCCAATTTCAGGGAATGTGGGGTTTATGAAAAACCCACATGCTGACACGTGATGGTTATCATGTTGTCCCTTGTTTTTTTGAATGTAGGCCTTCCTTGCATCCTCTTCATGTGTTGTACCCCAGGTAAGATCGGCTGTGATACATTTGCTGTCCTGTGGATAGCAAATCTTTTTTATAGTTGACAGAGCTGGTGACCTGACATCAGTAGCATAAACAGCATGCATATTAGAGGCAGTGATTCTGCCTGCTCGAGCAGCAAACCAAAAAGAAGATTTATGCTGTGTGTGTGTAGTCTTTTCGATTTGTTCAGCCGGTTGTTCTGAAACATAAGCTTGTTTTTTTTTCGCCTGGCAGTGCTGTTCCACAATTGTGAAATCGCATTCATCAAGACTAGTGTCACGTAGACAGAGAAGGGATTGAATATTTGTGACAGGCTGCACAGGATCCTTGAACTCTTCGCAATATTGTGGCAGCACACTCAGTATAGCAGATTTGCCATCAGTTTTATGAAGATCTGCATAGAATTGTGATAACTCTGAGTGTGTTGGTGGTGGTGTAGTGAGCTTCCTGGCACAAGTCCTCCAACCAGGCCTGCTAACAGTCTCAGCATTAAGAAGACAGTTTAGTGATTTTCGTGTGGCAGAAGCAGAAGTATAGTCAATCTGGTGGCCTACCTCAGAATGTACTTTGTTTACATTACTTGGTAAGATCCAATATGCAGGTTTGTCAGTGACAGTTCTCATTTCCCTGCACCTAACAGTTGCTTCCACTTTGAAAAGCAGGGCCCCAACATGAGTGCATGTCTCTGCAACACCCGCCATGCATGTACAATGGGCTGAGGAAACTTCACCAGTGGAGCTGATGATAACCCAAGCCTTCAGAGGTGCCTCACTTAGGCGCTGCGAGTGCATTACCTGTTGAACAAAAGAAATGTAATTAAGGGTGTTGTGTAATAAATAAGTCAACAATAGATGAGTAACTGCAGGGGCACATCAATGTCTACTCATCACAAAATACTAATCATCTTCCCACTGAAAGTTGTAAAACCTATGGTTTTCAAACGAGGCTGAAAGATCATAGCTAATTTCTTTTTATTAATAATCCAATTAAGTAAGCCAATTGCCCATGACACAAACATTCACATAGCTGAGTATTTTAATTTTGATTGGTTTAATTGAATAATTAACAAAAATAAGAGTTGACACCTTACCTTTGCAAGTACGACTGTGAAATCACAGTTTGCAGGCCTGTGGCTTAGCAGATCTTGCACCCAGCCACTGCAGAATTGTTCGTAAGCATCTAGGGATTTGTAGCATTTGAACTGAGTAATGGTGTATGCACTCAGACCAAATACGAGGTAGTTCACGATGTCCGGATGTATGAATGTATTTTATTTTTATTAATTTATAGTTTTGTTTCTCTGTTATAGTATGATTAATGAGAATGTCTCAGTCTGTGAGGACTTACAGTTGTACTTATTTTGTCTCAGTTGTGAGACATACTCCAGACATGAACCTCATTCGTGATATATTAAGATATAAGCTAAATAATTCATTAAAAAAAACTACATCAGAACATTAGCCACATCACAAACTCGCCTACAGCGACACATAGTGGTGATGGACGGTACGGCACTCTACAGCCCAAACTGCGTTCAACACGATTAAAGTGAATAAACAACGCATCAGAAGTAAATATTGTTGTTAACAGCGATTTAAATTAGTGCATAACATCTATCAAGAGCCTTTTATTCGACCTTATTCATCAGGATCAACTGGTGTTTTTCTTGCATTACACAAGCACGCGTGTTCAAGAAAGCAAAAACCATATATTGCAATGAAAATATTAATTCTATCTTCTAAATTAAGAGTCAAATCCGCTAAAACTGAGACTTACCTCATCATACAACACCTGCATGAATGAATGAATGAATGATGCATTTATATAGAGCTTTATTGTGTATTGTTGTACACCCAAAGCGCTTTACAATCATATGGGGGTCTCTCCTCAACCACCACCAGTGTGCAGCATAACCTAGTTGAATCATCCTTGATAGAAAAAGTGTGGAAGAAAAAAAAACCTAAAACAAAAATTGATTGGTGATTTTTTTAAAAATCCCATTGTTTTTGCCTTTTCATGTCTATTCATGTCATTTTATTTTTTAGAAAAACTGTCTCCTGGTGTCCTCTACAGAGGACATAGCATAACATATGAATAAAATATAATTTTTCAAAAATGAGAAATTTTTCCTTTTTTTTTCTTATGCTCTAAACCAGTGTTTCCCAACCGGGGTGCCGTCTGTCGAGAGCAGGGGTGCCGTGTAAAAAATCCTTTTTTAATATTTTTAAATTGCTAAAATGTTCAAAAAAGCATCTATTATATAATATCTATTTCTGATGTCGGAAAAAAGGATAATTAGAGATGCACCGAAATTTCGGCTGCCGAAAATTAGTTCACCGCTCAGGTTTCACCTTCACGTGGTGTGATGCTCTGCGTATTATCCGCTCTATGTGTGTGCGCTCCGCTCAGCTCCACTCATATACCGTTCATGCGAATC